CATCACAGAAGCCCACTTCGACCAACCTTCCTTCCCTTGTTAGAAAGGCGATGGCCTCCCTAGTCACTAATAATTAGACAGAGGCACTTTGAACATTCAGATTCATATATCTGCCAAAGTGCACATTCTTGTGCTCTTACACCACAGGATATTACCAAAATGATTTGAAAAACGAAGAAAAAATTGTAGATCCTATGGAGTGCTCAATACCGCTTCCATATCTATTCCTTCTGCAAGATGAATTGCAAAACTGAATTTGAAAAGATATGAAAGCGCAGGTGCGAACAAGAAACTTGAACCACGTTTTAGTTTGTGCACTAATTACATGTAGCACGCACCATCGATCCTGGTGACATTTGAGAATGCAAGCTTGTTGGGAAATCTAAGCTGACTTGAGGGAAATCTAGAATTTTGTGTGCTTCTGCTTTTTTTGTTGATGCTTTTCACGTGCGCTTTTGTTACGACTTTTCACAGCAAAAGTGGAAAATTTGCAACGAGCATAGTTCTGTCGAAAGCGTATGATGAATTTCGTGAGAAGTTCTGAGGGTAGCGAAGCATGGATGTGTGAAAAGATCTGAAGATTCGTCAGCAGTCTTTGTTGTGGTGAGGGGAAGTCGAAACCAAAAATTATGTAGAAGATGGGATTTGGCTAACAACCTTACATTGTTGGAAAGGGATTGGACTAATTTTGAGGATCTTCTTGCATTTTTTGCAGAAATCATGTTTCTTGCACTTTGTCGTCGTTATAGCGGACTTCTTTGCCAGATGTCAGGGGTATATGGAGAGAATTTGGGGCTGACTGAGGTCTGTTTTCGAAATCTTCTGTCCAGTCTTTTTTTATTATTTGCAAAGATCTGCGTACATGCTTGTATTTTTGGAATGCTATTGCTTTAGAGCAGATCAAGCAGATCAGTTCGCATTCTTCCCTTCCAGACTCGTGTTTCTTGAGCATCTTAACAGTTCTCATTAACATTTCCACGTGGAAGCATTTTCAGTGACTCCATTGAATTAGTTTGGATTTGCGCTGATTTTCCATTTTATTTATTTGGTACGCACAAGGCGTGCACATCCAAACAGAAACGAAACATC